CCCCAATCCCCACGCCAAGATACCACCCACACCGCGAGATTTGAACTTCCTGACATTGATGCCAGCTTCTTTACACAACCGAATTGCATTCAAATAGGTGGACTTATCAGGGAATACGAGCTGGCACTTCGCGATGTTTAAATGGAGGCCAGTACCACCCCCACTCCTAACGAGCACCCGAACGACGCTCGGCCGAATAGTAACCAGGTCCCATCTCGACGCGGCAAGGTCGTCTGCGAAGACGTTAAACACAACTGCAGAGAAGAGCGACGCCTCTTGCAACTTCCTGATCACAGGGTCGAAGCAGAGGCTCCAGAGGAGCCCGCTCAATGGACATCCCTGTTTTATGCCACGCATGAGGTGCACATGAAATGGGTCAGATCCAGCAAACATTATGCACGTGAACCTGTTCTGATATAAGCCCATGATGCTAAAGGATGATGAATTGAGGTATGCCATATGCTTCCAAGACAGCCCAAAGATATGCATGATTAATACTCGGGAATGCAGCTTTGAGGTCGAACAGCGCCGTGCCTGTCCGCCTCTGGCCACACATTGCCTTGCCCATCAGCAGTGTGGGATCCACTTCAATGATGTTGTCCACTAGCTGGCGCCCACGGAGAAAACCCCGGGGAGCAGCAGCAACGCGATCACCAGCAACTTGTGCCAGTGGCCAAGCAATACAAGAGCTAATCAATGTGTCATCTGCGTTGGATAATGATAACGGGCGAGTTTCCCCAGGCCCACGACATATAATGCCCCCAGCACCAGAGTTACCTTGGGGGGGGAACGCAGCAGAACTACGATTGAACTCTTTCGGCAACCTCTGGGACCCCACTAAGTCCAGGTAAACATCGCGCAGACACTTCAGGCCCACATCCCCAGAGGCAGCCCACGCCGAGCACGGAACCCCGCCAGGCCCAGGAGATGAGCCCTTCTCATGCGACAAAATGTCGGCGAACAAACTCTCTGGCACAATCCACGGGTAGATCGAGCCGTCTTTCGCACGGTACTGTACATCGTCAGACGGGATAGGGCAGACACGCGCGACAAGCTCCTTAATCACCTCATTGTCCACCCACCTAGCCTCAAACGTCCTCCCCCAATGTTCAGCAAGCAATCGAGAGCAAGTGTTATGATCACTATGATGGTTCCCCTCCCCATCCGTAATCTGCTGCAAAAAGACTTGCCGACCAGACTTCTTCCAAGCCTGCGTCATCCTGCGAATCCTCGCAAGTTGCTGAGCTGCACGGGCGCCACCATTATCTGCAGACTGATCGGCAGCATCGCGAACATCAGATTCGCGAGCTTGCAGAACATTACGCATAAGCTGAGAGAAAAGCAGATCAAAGCCCTCGCGGTCGGTCCACCAGAGCTCCTGGGAATCAAGATACCAGTGGAGGTCGCGAAACCCTTTGGGGCCTCTAAGGGTCTTACGGGAGCCCCCTGACCGATCACCCCTCAAAACCGAGAGCATACACGACAGTTTTTCCTCAGGGGTCCTGGCCCCTTTTTCAATGACCCAATCCTTGACACGATTCGCGACGAATTTCATCACATCTTTGATCTCCAGCAGACGGTGGCCGGCGTCGCGGGGCAAGAACTCTGGATCCAAGATATCCTTCATCATGATGCTAAACTGCGGGTGATTGGCCACCCGCGTCGGCACGCGCACGTCTCCCGTGGGCTTCCAAACAGCGAGCGACAGGAACACAGGTGCGTGGTCCGACGGCTTGCTAAGATTAGTGATAACCCAGCTCGTGCCAGTCTGCGGGCAGAGGTCGAGAATGTCCTGCGACGCGAGCGCGGTGTAAATGCGATCGAGCCTGCCGAACGATATCTGCGGGTCGGACCTGCCACTATCTCCCTCCTCCGTCTGACGAACGATACGATGGGTGTCACGTTCTTGCATGACCTCGCAGAGTGCACCGAGAGACTGATTAAAACTGCAGCAAGCCGAGATCCAACAGGACCTTCAGCACCAGTGTCGGCATGATACCTGGCTTCCCCAACACACAGAAAGTTCCAATCTCCCACGGCAATGCCCAGTGAACAACTAGAGGGAAGGAGCTCACGACGAAGACGAACAAAGTGGTTTTTGGTTTCCCCTTCTGACCAATCAGGGACGACGCGCACGTTAAAGATCTGACAGCACCCCTTGGGACCAAAGAGATTGAGATCAGCAATACGACCTGGAACGACTTGAACTAGGCGCACAGTCTCGAACTGCGCCAGCAGCACGCACGAAATGAGAGGGAAGAAAAAAAAAAAAAAAAAAAAAAAAAAAAAAAAAAAAAAAAAAAAAAAAAAAAAAAAAAAAAAAAAAAAAAACGCAGGCCTCCAGCAAATGCACTAGCACAGAAATGAGCCAAACGAAACATGAGATGTGTAATCTTTCTCGAGCTGCTCTAGATCTGATTCCACGCCATGAGATTCCTGGAGACCACCAACAGCATGCTTTCACAGCAGGGACCTCAAACACGAAAACTTCGAACGGATAACGTCCTGGTTGCTGAACACCGACCCCAATATAGTCTGGACATTCCACGCACAGATGCTGAGACGAGACCCAATAGAAAATGGACGAGCAGAGGGGGGAGAGGAGGGGGACTGCTGCCACGCACAGAAGAGGAACTGCTGCTGCTACAAAATTGCGAAAACGAATGCATACCATGGTGAAACTCGCTGGCAGGCGCATGCGAGGTATCAGTCTGCTGACTCGGCAAAATGCTGAGCTGCGCCCCACGCGGCTCAACAGCACGTGACTGCCTCAGAATTGTTTCCTACTGGGTGCCCGTCGCCTCGGCGATGAGCTCCTGCGCGGTCTCACAGCTGACTCCCCACTCCGAGAGCTTACTGACATTGGGCTCGAAACTTTCCTGCCCGATGCTATTCTTCACCGTCTTCACGAGCTCCCAGACGTCACCAAGGCCGATGACTTGGAGGACTCCCTTGTAGCCATTGACGCCGAGGCGGCACCCCTGCTGCCACTTCGCGGACTTCTTGAGCTCCCTGAGAAACGGATCATATATCACATTAAACGATCGCTGGCGGATGCGTACGTCGATCGGTAGATCCTGTCGACATCGCATCGGCACTGTAGTACTTGTGCGCGGGTCGCGCCACTCATGACCACCAGTTGCATTGCATGCTTGCTGAAATACTTTGGCCGCCACTGCCGTCGGAAACTTTAGCTTATAAGACTGAGCCACACCTTGAAACGTGCCCTCAACATTCTCCAATAGATGCTGGAATCGAGGAAAGATGACTGCGTCGTAGTGATGCTTCCGCTGATCTCGTAGAAGTGTCCGAGGAAATGTGCCTATGAATCTGATCGTCGCATCTGATGGTTGTTGACGTGCACCACCAGCATGACTGCCACCTCCACGAGTACTGCCACCATCACCCCGAGAACTTGTTGTACTACCTGACTTCATGCCAGTCACTTCACGAGCGAGACGCTTGAGCTCGTCATTCTGATCACTGATATGGATTTGCTGCTTGACCATGTCATTCTGGATCTCTGCGATCTGCTGCGTGTGGCCTGCGAGCTGCAATTGAATGGCACCGACCGATTCATCCAATTTGTTGATGATCGACCCTTGGTACTCGGACATCATCATGCGCATGTTCTGGAGGATCTCATTGTCCCCTGATGAACGGTTCTCATCTTTCTTTGAAGTATCATTCTTCTTCGGCGACGGCGATCTGAACATCTTTGAGCTTCCAGAACTGCTTGAACGGCGTGAGCGACGAGATGAACGATTGGCACTGTCCATACTGCTCCTGCTTGCTGAACGACTGGAAGAGGAACGACGATGCTTCTTCTTGTCCTCGTTCATCCGAGTTTTCTGTATCGGTCGACTCACGTTGCGGCTCGGCGTACGTCCACCCGTGACTCCCATGGCTGAACTGCTGGGAGCGATACGAAAGATACTGCGCAGCCCTCTCCTGCGCCTGGGGAAGAGGGAAATGGATGTATGTAGTGGAGAGAACTGCTCTCAGCCTGGCGGGGCCGCCGTCTGCGGCTGGAGCGGGTCGGATGCTGCCTGCCCAGCTGGCTCGATAAATGTTTTGATTGAGCCAAAATGGCTTGAGCCAAAATGGCTACGGACCCATGTCAGGAGGAGGAGGAGGAGGAGGAGGAGGAGGAGGCGGAGGAGGACGCAGGTGGAGGAGGAGGAGGAGGAGGGCGCAGGAGGTGGGGGCGGACGGCTCAGGAGGAGGTGCTGCCGGTAGGAGTACTCCTGCTCAGGAGCTGGGCCTTCCCGCGCTCGCCGACCCTGCCGGGGCGGCGGCCTGGAGCGGCCAGGCCCTCCTGCGGCCCGGCACGGAGCGCAGAGGTGACCTCTGGCAGGAGTGACCTGTGTTGGGCGCCTGTGGCCAGGGTTAAGTCGGGCCTATCCCCCTACAGGGGGATTTTCGACGAAAAATAAAAAGAAACCCAAAAATCATGAAAAAATAGTCCGAAAATAGTCTGGGGACTATTTGTTGACTATTTTTTGACCGGTTGGGGGCATTTTTGGGGTATTTTTTACCCTTCGTCGAAAATCCCCCTGTAGGGGGACAGGCCCGACAGAAGGCCAGGGCCCCGGATCATCAGAGCTGGGGGCGGTCAGGGGCAGCTACAGGAGTTGCCCCAGACCGGAGGTAGATCCTGGGTAGCTCGGGCGCCCAACCACTCCCGAATCATCGGGGCGGGGGGGCAGCCAGGGGCAGCTGCTGGTTCGCGCGTCGGGGGCCCGAGCTGGAGTTACCCTGGACCAGAGTTGCGGATGCCATGACAATGGACACTCTAACAATCCGATCATTGAATTACAGATGTGTTTAAAATGCGTAAAACGTGTTCTAAAAATGCTTTCAACATGATTTGTTTACATTTTTAAAAACATGTTTGAAACATCTTTTAGACATCTGGAAATGATTAGGCAACATGCTTCCTCTCCATTAATCGACTTCCACAAGACCAGAGTCATCCCGGATGACGCGGGCGTCAAATGTGGGGGGCCGAATCCAAGCGCGCAGGCAACTGCCAGGGGCCACCGTAGGCCCGCAACCACGGTCACTCCGGCGAAAGGTTACCCTCACGCGTGGCCGGGTCCTCAGGGGCGGCCCCCTGCGTGGGCTGCGCGGCGGTCCAGGACGAAGGGCTGGAAGTCCGGGTTGCGCACGCGCCTCAGGCGGGGCCCCCCCCACCTTTCGCGGGAGGAAACAGCATCTTTCGGAGCTCCACTCGGAGTTCTTGGATCGGCGCCGGCCCCCCCTGACGCGCGGAGCGCGCCTGGGGCCTCACCAGACGTGCCGCCAGCGGGGTCCAACGCAGATCCGAAAAATCCGCGCGGGCTGTTTGTCAGCGAACGCGCGGGGGAAGTGAGAAGGGGCGGGCCTTCTCAGAAGGCTCGGAAGTCCCCCGGCCTTCTGAGAAGTTTCCTGAGCCTTCCCCGAAGATAGAGAAAAACAATCTCAGAAGGCGCGAGGATTTCTGAGAAGTCCCGCCGCCTTCTGAGAAGGCCTTTTCCTTCTCACCTCCCTCCCTCGCCCGCCGCCGACTTCCCCCTGATCTGCACCCTTTCTCTTGCGCCTCGAGGGCAACCCCGTAACTGTGTCGTCGTAGTGGCGGTGACAGTGGGGGCCGTGTTTGCCGTGGGCAGCGCGGGGGACGGCGCCAGGGTCTGGCAAGACGAAGCCAGGACGAGAATAAATTTGGGTGAGGATGCATTGGGAATCTCTGGTGAGCGTTTTCTTACTCGGCGTTTCGACATTGGGCGGAAAGGAGGGGGGAGGGGGGGGTCTGGCTCTGGACCTCTGCTTAGTGCGACTGTCTGCAACAGTGCGTCCTGTGAGGGGAGACACCACCTGCTCGAGTCAGGCGCCAGAAACAGCCAAGATCTACTCCATGGGGGGGGGAGGGAGGGGGTGCGAGGGCCCGCGCCGATCGGCAAAACAAGGAATAAGAAAACGATCACATAAAATCTGGCGGCCCTGGAGGATGTCTCGCGCGCCGCGGCCTGTGCAGAGCGTTCCAGAACGCTCTGGAACGGATTTATCCTGGTCCTAGCCCCGTCCGATCTGGGCCCCAAGTCTACGACACATTCGAAATATCCGCGCGCACCACCAGAATTCAGTGTTTGTGTTGTGGTTTCGTTCTGCACCTCCGAACACCTGCCGATGTTCGCGGCCAGACCCTGCAGTGTGGCCACGGAGACGTCGAGCCCGCGCGCGTCGACCGCGCGGCCCGCGCACGTCCGGCGCCCGTGCCACGCCCTCTGGAACTCGGTGGCCACCTCGCTGGAAACGAAATTGAGGAAGGCGTGCCCCTTGCTCTTGCAAGAGGCGAAGTCGCGGGGCATGTAGCAGAAGTCTACCGTGCGGGCCAACCCCGAGCGGTGGACCTCCTCCAGCAGCTCTTGTTGGCTCACCTCCTTGGGCAGGCCGCGCAGCATCAGAGAGGTCACACCCGGCGTGATCTGCCGCACGGCCCTCCCCGTGCCCGCCGGCAGCGAGTGACGGGGGGCTGCTGCCGCAGCCCCCGCCGCGCCATTGCCGTACATGCCACCCGCGCCGCCGCCGCCGCCCTGCTGGGAGGCTGCGCCGCAACCAGGGCCTTCCGCCACGGGCGCCGCCTCTGAGCATCGCCCAAGGGACCGATCCCTATCCCCACCAGCGTGGCCTTGGCTGTTGGCCCCAGCCCACTGGCCGACTCACCCACCTCAGGTCGGGACCTGCCTCATCCCATCGGGTCTCGCAGGGCGTAACCTTGGAAAATCATTCAGACATTCCCTGCGTTATCGGTAACACCAAACCGAACACACGAATTCCATTGGGGGGATCTTGCCGAAAGATAACTTCAGCACCGCGCCAAACAGCACAAACAAAAAAGTACCCACCGCCCTCCCGCTGCCGACACCTATAAGGAGAGCCAGCGGCAAAAACGCAAGGACCTTAACATTCGTTTCGAAAATTGCACAGATTCCACGGAATGAGAGCGGCTCGTCTTCAAAATGTGGTTCTCGCATTAGCGCTGCGCACATTTTTTTTTAACAGTGCACGAACTTCGCGGATTGAGGGCGGCTCGCTTTCAAAATGCGGTTCCCGCGCTAACGCCGCGCATATTCGTTTAACCAAATTACACGAGCTTCACGGATTGAGGGCGGCTCGCTTTCAACATGTAGCTCTCGCCTTAGCGCCGCGCGCATTCGGTTTTCACAACTGCACGAGCTTCACGGATTGAGGGCGGCTCGTTATCAAAATGCAGCTATCGCGTTAGCGCCGCGCGCATTCGTTTGAAAAATGTGCACGAGCTTCGCGGATTGAGAGCGGTTCGCTTTCAAAATAGAGTTGGCGCCTTAACGCCGCGCGCATTCGTTTAAAGAAACTGCGCGGGCTTCACAAATTGAGGGTGGCTCGTTTCCAAAATGTAACTCTCGCCTTAGCGCCGCGCACATCCGTTTCGAAAACTGTCACGGGTTTCCCGGATGTTGGGCGGATCGTTTTCAAAATGTACCTCTCGCCTTAGATCCGCGCGCATTCGTATTAACAGATTTGCGCAAGCTTCACGGATTGAAGGCGGCTCGCTCTCAAAATGCAAATCTCGACTTAGCGCCGCGCGCATTCGCTTCTTTTCCATAAATGATATATATAAATACAGAGAGATATATATATATAAACATACATACATACATACGTACGTACATACATACATACATACCTACATACATACATATATATATATATATATATACACACATACATACACATATACATATACACGCAAGACTGCAGCGGCGCTTCGCGCCACGCACCCTGGTCCTTGAAGTTCGGTACGCAGGCGGAATGGCAGGAAGGTCAAGCCGACAATTTAGCGACGATTCCTTGTTGCCTTTTCCAGTATCGACGCTAAAATGATGTTATTCGTTATCTTTCCTCCAAGCTTCTTTTTCCTCGCCCTCGCCACACCCTGCGCAATTTCCCCATCCTCCTCAGCTCGTTTTGCGGAGTCTCCTCCTTGGAGAGCCTCTGGGGGCCTCGCAAAAGTTTCAGGCTTTCTTGATGCCTTCTGGACGCCCCCTGGGCGCGTTCTGGAAGTTCTGGGACCTCCGCGAGCCACCCTGCCTCCAACCGCGGTTTCCCTGAACGACCAGGCCACGATTTGGAACGCTTCGGAAGGTGTCTTGGGGCCGTATTGGGCCGCCACGGGGCCCTCTTAGGGCCATCTTTGACCCCTGCTGTGCCGTTTTGGGGCTCTCTTGGACTGCCTGGAAGCCCTTTCGGATGGTTGCGGGGCGATTTTGGAGCCTCCCAGGCGGCTTCGGACGCCCAGAGGACTGCCGTATTGGAGCGACGGGAAGCCGAAAAGAGGAGAACCCCAAAGTTCACCAAAAACCAACAGAAGATCAATGATTTGCGCCTCTTGGGGCCTTCCTGGGAGTGCTCTTGGAGGTTTTTGTTGCAGCATGTGGGGCCGTCCTGGAGGCCTCTTGGGCCATCTCGAGGTCACGTCGGTCACTCTTGGACCGCTCTTGCGCTGTCTCGGGCGTTTCTGGGCCAGGACGTCTCCGATGACATCCCTGATCGCCCTAGGCGCGCTGGGAAGGCTCGGCAAAACGCCCTGCGAAGCCCGGGGGCCGCTTCGAGGCCCGTCCGGAGGGCCCCAAAACCCCCAGATCCCGGGAGCCCAGTTTTGGGGAGGGGGGGGAGGTTCCCCCCGCCCGGGCTTACACATACATACATACATATATACATACATACATACATACATACATTCATTCATTCATTCATTCATACATAGATACATCCCGCGGCTGTCCCGCGGTTGTCCCGCGGTTGCCCTTGGCTGCCCCGACGGTTGCCCCGAGGTTGCCCCGCGGTTGCCCCGATGGCTGCCCCGACGGTTGCCCCGACGGTCGCCTCGATGGTTGCCCCCACGGTTGCCCCCACGGTGGCCCCGATGGCTGTCCCGCGGTTGTCCCGCGGATGCCCCGATGGCCGCCCCGATGGATCACGGTTTCCCCGATGGTCGTCTCGATGGTCGCCCTGATGGTCGACTCGATAGTTGCCCCGATGGCCGCCCCGATGGGCGCCCTGGCGGCGCCCCGATGGTTGCCCCAGATGGATGGACGCACAGACACCATTAACACCACCACCACCACCACCATCATTCCGAAGACATTTGCACTCACGCCGCAACGCCCTGCAAAGGGCTGCCAGCATCGACGCCGCAACATCACGTCCCCGCGGAGTGGGCCGCGCCAACTCACGGCCCCAGGCTCTGCCAGCGCCGGGCCACGCCCTGGCTCGCGACCGGTGAAGCAGCGCTACTCGCACAGCGTTTTCTCCCGCGCTGGGCTCGCAAAGTTCAGCCCCGCCCGCGCGACGACGGGCGAGCAGCTGTTCCAAGCTCACAAGAAAATCCCGGGCGCGAGGCACGCGAACTGGAACGCGTCGAAGACCTCGCAGGGGAACATCGACATGCACGAGCAGGAGAGCAACTGCCTGGCCCACCCAGTGCTCGGCGACCCTATCAGGCCTTTCGAGTTTGAGGTGGCTCGGAACCAGCACTCGAAGGACACGGGCGCGCGCTGCACAGCGACGGCGATGTTCGAGGACCCGCCGCACTACATGGACGCGGAGGCGCGGCGGATTTCACGCGCAATTGTATAGGGCAAGAGAGGTTGCACACCAGCACGCGATGGGCAGCTTGGCGCGGCTCGGCGGCGCGCCAGGCGCCGCCGGCGCATCTGCCTCACAGGGCGCGGCGGCTGACGCATAGGCCGCGCAGGGTGCCCAGGTCGCGCCTCAAGGGCCTGCAGAAGAGGGCGAGGACGCGCGCGGCTCCGCCGGCAAGCCGGCGGCACGCGGGGGGCGGCTGCTCCGGGCTCTGCCAGCCCAGCCCAGGGCGCAGGAACAGCGCCGCCGCCTCCGCGGTCGCACCGCCGCCGTCTTCGCAGTCTAAGCTGCGCCCGCCATTCCTCGCCGCGGGGGCGACGGCGCCGTCGGCCCCGTCGGCTCCGTCGGCTGCGGCCCCAGCTCCATCGGCTCTGGGGCATGCGCCCCTGCAGACGCTGCTCCTCCACGCTCTGCACCAGATGCGGGGCCTGCGTCGGCGCGCCCGCCGCCCTCTCTCGAGGCCGACGCGGAGTCGGTCTCGAAGACGAGCAAGACCGGCGAGCCGGCAGCGGAGGCCGCCCAGGGCGCCCCCGCCCCGCCGCGAGGGCCTGCAGGGGAGGCCGCGACCGCGCCGAGCTCTGCCAGCAAGCCGACGGCAGCGGAGGCCGCGCAGGTCGCCCTCTCCCCGCCGCAAAGGCCTGCAGAAGAGGCCGCGGCCGCACCAGGCTCCGCCAGCAAGCCGACGGCGTCGGCTCTTCCAGCCAGCACGCTGTAAAACCTCACAGAGGCGTTCGCCGCCGATGACGGGGGGGGCAGGAGGGGGCGCAGGGAGCGGGGGGGCAGGAGGGGGGGCGGGAGGGGCGAGCACGACGGCGAGGACAGGGAAACGCAGTAGGCGTTAGAAGGAGCAAGGGCGGGGAGAAGGAGGGCGGGGAGCACTCGCGAGGCACGCTATCCAGGGCGCGTTTGGAGCTCTCCGAGTTCGGGGGCGGCAGAGACCTGCCCGAGTTGAAGTGGTCGCCAGGCTCTGCGAGCGACGGCGATCAGGAATTCCCGGTCGCTGCCAACGGGCACGCGGCGCGCTCTCTCTGTCTCTCTCTCTCTCTCTCTCTCTCTCTCTCTCTCTCTCTCTCTCCCTCTCTCTCTCTCTCTC